TATCACTGTTCGTTCCCATTTTTAAAACTTCTGCGACCTAAGAAAAAATAGAAATCGAAAAGGTGAACGATCAGTGTGTACATTTAAGCAGCACACACTGCAAACATCAAACGATTGAACGGTCAGCAAATGGATGCAAGTGCCAGAAATTCAAACGCTGAGCAATTATGGAAAAAAATGAAAATCGCGTGTAGATATAAGCGAAATCTCTTCCTACTTAACTTTTGATGAATTAAACCGATACTTTCTTTGTTGCGAGAATAGTGATCGAAGTTCATTGTGTTCATTCACTGGCTTCACCATAGTTACCAATTAGAATTAAACATTTTTCCTATCTGTTGTACCACGTTATTTTCGAGACCTACGTTCGTCTTCAGTATTTGGAAGACATGAAGTCTCATCTTGAAAAGCTGTTCTGCCGCGTTAAACAACGTACTCGCTTTTACATTTACTAATGATTGAAAAACGACGCTGATTCCTGTTATGGACGTATTTCCTGGGTTTCTTTAGTACCAAGAAAAACAGCCCTAGGGCAGTAGAATACCTCAGACTGTTGAGGTTACAGATTTTAAAAGGAAGGTCTCCTTCGACCTCTTACTTTTATTTTATCATAGCGATCCCAAGATCCAACAGTTTTGTTCAAACCAGACGAGAAACAACAGACGCACTTGAACACTTTGTCCAACGAGCAGCGGTGGACCTGGAAAAGGGCTGAAGAATAATCACGGCCATTTCCTTTGATTATTCATCGGTGTTTGACACAGCCCAGAAGGAAAAATTAACATATGTTGTTTGAGATGTCTGAATTAACCATTACGCTCTACCGACAACTGCGCAGTATGTATCTGAGCGCAAACAATTTGAGCGCTTCAACAGCAATCTGTTCATACTGTACATCAAGGATGTATACTTGAACCGCCACAACTGTACTTGGAACATGAGGACGACAGTAACAAAATCGCAGTCGTAAAGACAACATGAAGACCCCGAAGAAGGTAGCAGCGATATGAAGAAGCTGCCAGACTCGTTATATTCAAACGGGATTTGTCCTGAATAAGTGAAGGTGTGTGGACTGTTTATGTTCATTCAAATAAGCGGAATCAGAACCCCATCGATAATGCCAAAAAAGAAATTAGTCAAATCAAGAAGCTTGCCAAGTGGGTGATGTGAAAAAAAAATGTGAAATACTTTATATGATCGTTAACGACAGATTAGAATAGTCTGAGTTTTTTCATAAAAAAAAGATTAGGAAAGCTAACTTATACTTCCACTTGCACCGTTTAATTTTGCAAATGGTTCACAGGTAATTTCCAGTCTTATTTATGCAACTCCATGATGAAGCATCAACATGTGATTTTGAGGGCTTGCGGCGATATATTACAGTATATTATACGCATGGAAAACAATAAAATCTTGCAGCTAAACCATGTCGCGCAGACTTTATTCCACGGATAATGCAAAACACCACCCACCCGCTACCAACAAATTTAACTGCATGCTACTCTTTGAAATCTGCTCCAGAGAAAACTTCCAAATTCAGCCGTTATAGGTCCCAAGCCCGGATGAGAAAGTAGGAGGGTTGGAAACCGCAGTGAAGTGGCCGTAAACCTTAGCCACCTGCCGTCATGGTATTGACGCCATCGAATATTATACAGGATCGGCCGTCTCCCGGGTTACAAAGGGACGATAACGCTGCTGGGGGACTGAGGCAGGCTGCAAAAAGTCTGGATCAAAACCTGCCCATCACCTAATGACAACCGGGTGTAGCAACACGACAACAGCTGCCAAAGATCATCGATGCGACGACGAAAGCGCACATTAGTATACCTAGTATAGGAAGGCGGTGACGGCGGCATAAGAGCTAGTCGAAACCACAGTCACGAAGCAATTTATTGCTTACCTGACACATCTTTGACTGGCTAACTGGCTTTGTGTAATCCAGACTGGAAAAAGTCTGGCTCAAAGGACTAACGCCTCGTAGATGAACATCTTCCGGCAATGGCGTCTTCTGGTACCAGTCCGAAATTGGCGCCCAAACGCTGCCGCTCAGGATTTTGGAAAGTTCTTCATCTATTGAACGGTAGAAAAGTCGACTTGGCGTCAAAGCATAAAAATACGAGTTCGTTTTCATACCATCATTAATGATCTTCATCAACTGTTCATCGTTTGGAAGAAGGTTAAGAAAAAATGCCAGATGACTCCAGATGATCTTCGATGTCTAAACACGATAGTTGTCGAAGCGAAAACAAATAAACAAAATAAACGAGTGAGCCTTGCCTGTTCGATCGACAATATGAGACTGGCGTTGCACTGCAACCAACTACATATCACCTTCATTACCAGCAGCCAATCAAAAGTGACTAAAAAGTTCAACTTTTCCGCTGGACTTTCACGCTGGCGATAAGTCCTTAACAAACCGTTGTCAAATGAAATGCCTGCCATTTTAAAACGAACGTGCCTCTTTTGACCACAGCCAGAATGTTCACTGTCCAACGACGCACCATTCTCTAGAGGATCACAGAGCAACAGCTGAGATTTCAAGCTATTCATCATGCCATGCTCCACGTCCTGCGATGACATCGTGACACAGTTGGTTTCACATACTTCTGAGGAGTCGGCGGTGGCGCTCCTGTCTTCGGCATCATCGCTGCAAACGCTCTTCGCTCCATTGAGAAGAACGTTCCCTTAGAAGCGAAACATTGAAAATTTCCAAATTTCAAGAACAACCATGCCACTAACGTCTCATGCATCGTTAAAAGCATGAAATGGAGACATTGCTACGGTGCTAGTTATACAATCAGGATGAAAAACAGCGTTATATTTTATGAACGCAAATTATTGGCGTATCAAATGTTGAATCGCTAATGATATTTAGGTCCGTATTTCATCGACTTTCTTCAAGGCTACGTGGTGGCTACTGCCATCTGCCATCAGAAGGTTTCGAGCTGTAAAACGACTATGGGTCATTATGGTACAAACTATCCAGTTACTGACGAAAATGAAAACAATAACAATGATGAAATATCAGATGGTTTGTCTGGAACAAGGACTATATGATACGGACGGAAACGTCCGTAGTGATTTATTATTTGATAAACAGACTCATTGTGTTGTGAAAAACTAAACAGTTTTATGCCGTTTTTCACTTGAAGGTACGAAACTACTACTACCAAAAACAGGTTATAAAATCGAACAAAATTCACTTCTGTTTGCGCCTACACGTCCATCGTGTAGAGTGTTGCCGCATAAAATAAACTGCAACTTTCCACGCTATCAGTCTCGTGGGGCTTCTACCACGCTGTAATCAGACTTACTAAACATACGCTAATAGCCAATATCACCATTATTAGGCTGTAGCAATGGTATTGTGTTTACACGACGTACTTCTTCGTCACCCACTAAAAAGTCTCCCGTTCTTGCTGGGCTCCGTGCTCAATTTTGAGCGTTCTACGTTCTACTGCGGAGCTCCAAAGCTGATTAACTAGTTTTTCCATTATACAGAAACACGAGTCAATTTGCCGCTACTGCGATCAGCAGAAAAATGCTCTTCAACAGCCTTACGCAAGAGTGCGAAATGATCAATGTATTGCACGCTAAAACTTCTAGCATATTTCACAAATTAATGCTATCAGCTTAATAGTGAACAAATTCCTTGATACGCAAGGATAATTTTTAGCTGCAAATACTAATCACCCACGATGCATTTGTAACAAAGAAGTGGGTTCGCTGAGGGGAATAAATATTATTCATCAATAACGGGATTAAATCCAGCTCATACAGTCGAAATACGTAAGCGCTAACAAGCTAAGTCATTGCCTCTCCTCATTCTGCATACAGGGTACACAAATTTACTCTGTACCAGACTCGGCCGTCTCGAATACGGGGGTTTCGAAACTGGGTATATTACCGAAAAGCAACATCATACCACAAGGTCCACTGGAAGTAAGCACGTCAGTGCAGGAAGACTTATTACCGTCTTCATCGTCCATGGAAGAAGATGAAGAGTTGTTGTTCGATTTACGCCAATCGTCTTCCGATCCGTCACTGCCATGTCTGCGGCGCCTCAGTATATCACCTTCCTCACCACCAGACTTCTCCGCGGAACCGTCAGTTTTCTATATGTAAGATTGATGAAACTGCGGGTGCAATAACAACCTACCTCCGCCATGTCTGTCTTCTCTTCCAGTGCTAATCCTTCAGTGGTTTCCTTTATAAATCCTGCAAAAAAATCTAAAAACTACCAGAAGGATTTACATAAAATAGTTTCAGCAATTGATTTTGCGTTATACATCAGCATTGATGCGCACATTTACAAACAAATGCTTTTACTATTCAAAAAGCAGTCGACGCAGGAAAAAATTTAGAACATTTGATTAACTCAACGTGAAGTAAATTTCCTACGGGATAACCAGAGAGCGACGGTGCGGCTTGTCATTCAGATCTTCAGTGTCTGTTTCATGTATTTCTGTGATGCTGACATTTGTCTCGGCGCTCGAGAAGATTAATCTAATCCACCCACGTCCCCATTTTGTCAAGATTGAGACTAATCGGTAGCTAAAATATGCTAAACTATGTGGGTTATGGTTTTTCGTTCAGATCTTCCCATTATTCTTTCCACTCCTGTCGCACACACTGCTGAGCGGGGGGGGGGAGTATTTGAGCTCGATCATCCGGAAATCTCAAGCGCCGGCTATCAAGTCATAGGTAATGATTCTTGCTGCTCGGATAAAATGTCTCTGTCGTGTTTCAAAGCGTGCTTACTGACTGATGCACCATTTCCTAGTTCTCACGTATCTGACAAATAACAGCCACAAGCAATAGAATATTTCAGTCTAAGAGACCCTAAGTCTCACGACTACGGCCATAAGGCGTAGATGTATGTTGGACTACGTCTTCAAATGACTTCTTACTCTCAGAACTCTTCTATTTTACAGACACATCCTGAAAGAATATTAGGTAGACTGCTCCTTATCACTGACTCATCTTCCGGCAAATGTCAATCACTTATCAACAACGGTGAAGGCAGGTACATGTTACCTCGGGGATTAATTAGTCATGACCAAAGACCGGCTATTAAGGCATTATAGAGCACGTCTTACAACATCACTCGTGAATGTTATCCCGGTACTTTAGCTCTACTATCTGATACAGGTGAACTCCAGTTACACACAGAACAATTTGAGTGGACTTTTTAAATAGTACAAAAACCTGTTTTGGATATGTTTATTTTCATTTCGGTTTTATCACACACAGCAGCGAAGCAATTATGGACATGCTGGAGGTAATCTTGTGGGGATCGAATATGTCTAAATCATCTGCAAACAGCATCTAGCTCAGTCGAACTTCTCCAACCGCGATGTCCTTTTAACATGACTACGCCTACTCACCCAATCAATGAAAAGTATGAACGGGAGAAAAAAGAAAACAGTTGGTGAAGATCAACATGCATCTTGAAGGGCACCACCTGGCCATCAATCTAGACACAAGCCCCTGAATAGTCCCACAACAATGCGATGACCCTCCGGTTGCTGGCATGTTACCGCAGCGCTCTTCACAACCTCGAGTGGGATATTCTACTGAAATTTTCTTCTATTTTTACGAAGCAAGAAAAAATCTCTCGCATTTAACGAGCAACCATTCGCAGACCTCGCAAAGTGCAAAATTCTGATCCATGATGATCCGGCCATAATAGAGACAGGATTTCTCATCCAAATCTTTTGGTCTACTATTTCTCAGCATTTCCGTTTCAAGCACTATGCGTAAATTTTACCGAGTAGACAAAATACTAAGAAGGAATACCTTTGTCGTTGCTCGAGTCCGCCTTGTCCCGTTTTGAACAAAAAGGTATGATGACCACCCCGGATAGCCATTGCAAAGAATTCCACGCAATCTGACATAACTGCATTAGCCACAGAATACCACTACGATTCATGGCTTTTAGCATCAGGTCGAATTTAGCCTTCTTCGGCAGCTTTATTGTGTGTCAGCAATCTAATGGCAGCTATCATCTCAGACGCTAGCAGTACTTTCGGCTCAAAAGTGCATTTCCTGATTACTGTCAGGGTATGGAGAGACTGGATTTAGAAAATTCTCAAAATAATTCCCATTCGTTAGAGCTAGAGTGGTACTAGATCTTCGGCCTCCTACATGGCACATGCTTGGCCAGGGGACTCTGACGGTTGATCAGTGCCATGAAGTGAGCTAACTTCTGAACGATTCCGAAGCCCTTGCCTTTGCAGGTTGCACTGCTCGTGGGGAGGTTCTGCTCGGATCTCTGTACCAAACATGCAATGAGGGCGAGTACTCGTTCGCATTTCAGACTGAATTAGGCATCGTTTCGGCGGTGTGCGGCTTGAACTTTCTGCTTGCATTAAGGGAAATCTAGCTTGCAGCCAATAGTGACACCAAGATGAAGCTGAAGTTTAAACAGCAAATACTCGGTTTCCATTACCGCGTTTCAGATGCTTGGTTTAGTATCTTCTTAAAGCTCGCTGTCATGTGATCCGCAAACCGCATCTTCACATATGCATCTTTCAAGGTCACATTGCACATCTTCACATCTGCATCTTCTCAACTTATTCGGCATTAAAATTTCGAGTAATCGGTCTTGTGAATCAGCATGAATTTTGAAAGGCGCAGCTTCACAAGGTGGTGATTAGTCGACAGCCCCAACCCTCATTTCATCTGAATATTCAGCACCATCGAAAATGAGTCAGGTGAAATCACTACCACATCAAGCAGTGATCGCTGCCTTAAAGTATGGAGATATTAGGTTCGCTTCCTTACTTACAGCGAAATAATTAATAAGCTCTTTCTACGTCCCTCTATAAAATTCTGAATCTTGGGTAATTTATGTTGTTATTATTAAACATTACGAAGATGTCGTCAGTAAATATTACTCAGACGACTGACATTAAAGACGCCGAGTACTAAGATGTATTAACCAATTTTCTAAAGAATTTACTATAAATTGCGTGTGTCAGGCAGAACCATATGCTTGTCTAGAACGAAATAATGGCAATAACGTAACAGTCCACACATGAGTGGAATTTTTCGCAAAAAAACAGTGCCGTCAAACAGAAATTTACATAAGGCAATTCGATCTGCCACGGCTGACTTTTGAAACTGCACATATTATTTTCCGATGCATGCTTGGTTTCGTTCAGTCAGGCAGAAGATTATCGTTTAAAACCGTTTTGTGTAACGATACTGCTTATAGGGCAATTACATCGAAAGTTACCCATTGGTGACTGACCTTAAATATGTTTTACTATTTCAGTAAACAAATATAAAACTTTACTTATTGTGATCAGGGCTGCCTATATGAGAAAGCTGCCAAACAAATTTTAGGGGAGAAAAAACAAGCGGGGCAAGGAAAGACCGCGGTCGAATGGCGCGACATACACGACCTTCTCAAAGCCACTAACAAAACCTCGAGTACTACGGTGATATTTTCAACAAATACAAGGCCCTGAAAACAAACTACAATGCTGAAACCTGATATATATATATCGGCAGCTGCTGATATTCACTCGGTTAGCTGTTCACCCGACGCAAAGCATCGTAGTCCAATACAATATGGAGACGGTTAAAGTCTATCGCATAAACAGCTGGGGGATGCGGCGATGGCGGCGGCAGAGCTGGCCGGTTGATTCCGGGCCGATTGTACTTATTCACTATCGTGATTTTTCCGCTACTCGATTTAGTAAATTCGAGTTCTTTTAATTTGCTTTTCTGTTCGTATATCCAATTCTCGCTAGTTCAGCAATGCGACATCCTTGAGGTCTACTCTACGTAGCTAAACCGAGTTTGGAGTCAATGATGTCAACGACCATACTGAACCCAGCAATTCTGAATCCGGCGCTTAGTGATCGCATTCGATGTGCGTCTCTTCAAAAATGGAGATATTAATCCTCTTTCCTTTAACGTCCCAGACGGGTAATCATATTTTGCGTTGGAGATGACTTCGAAATTCAGCTGGAAAATGCCATTTGCGGCTCACGGATTCACCTTTTTGCCCATATAAGGGCTGTTCGGTTTCTACGCATTTCTTCTACGGTCTTCATAAGGACTGTTGGGTTTTTTTTGTTCTACTTCTATGGCTCTCATGAGGATTGTACCGGTTTATGTTTTTGCGTGCAATGAAAATCATCAGCTTTCCTGGATCCACTGATGGGTTACGATTTTTCAGACTGCCAAATTATCTTGCCGAAACAAATTTCATGAGTTCATGCCATACATTTGGAAATACTGCCATGGCTGGTCATTCTTTCTCAGAATCCACTCTGATATCACCTTTGCCCAACATTACTGTCATTTCTACGAAATATTCCGTCCAATGTCATTTTCACTTAGTCGCGCTTGAAACGATATCGCAGACCCTTGTTGTGCTCCCATACATTCACCTGTTTTCTAATTTTTCTTGTTATTTCTAATGTGCAAATTTTTATTCTGCGTTAGGCAGTATGTAGCTTCTGAACGTCTGTTACATTTAAGGACCATGTTTTACGTTCAAATGCTAGCACTGGAAACAACAATTATCGCAAACCTTCTTCCATTTCAAGCACAAAAGCAGATTATAAAATAATACACATTTTCAATAGCTCAAATGTTCTTCTTGCCAATTTTACACTTCCACAAATATTGTAGAGTTGATTTTCAGTGAAGGGATCAGTAATAAAAGGATGACGCAGTCTGGCACTTCAGACTTACTCTATATAAATTCATAAGTTTGTTGAGTTACTTAAAAACTGTTCATTTCTATACCCGCTTTGATGCTGCCATAGTAAAACCTCCGCGTTATTTTCTGAAGTTCTTCTGGAGACACTGTAAAGATCACAATTTCTTCGTAAAACCGTAGGTAGTTCGCAGCAAACTTTAAGTACAGTCCAGCATATCTAGTATTTAATTTTTTTAGCATCTTAAGAACCTCTTCTGGAGATGCTGTGAATAACCTGATATGGTGATACTGCATCATTATGGTGGGGGCCTTTTTTCGAGTTAATAGTTAACAAAATTGTGCATTTTCGAAGCTCTATTGTGATACGCTTGATTAATTATTTTATCAGCCTGTACATGTTCATGTCATTCACTATAAAACCGCTACGGCTTTTCGTTATTCCTCGCCGTGTAGCTTCATTGATAACGTCAGTGTTTAGACCACACGGTGTACACAGTCATCATACCTTTTTTATCACATCAAAAGAGCCTGCCTCCTCTCGGCTGTTTTGTTTCTGGGGCTATGCATAATGTATCCCATGAAGATGCTTCGAGTTTCGTATTTCCTATTCATACCGTACTTAAAGCTTAGCATTCGCACTTCACTGGAGTTTAGCTGTTGTACGATTCTTACCAACAGACTCCATTTACACAGTACATCAGTAATGGTTTTACTGCTGATGCAGACCGTACAACCTTTCTCTTATCTTAATGTGCTTTCTGTCACAAAACATGCCGCTAACTTCTTTCCATTTGAACTAAACTTTACCAAAGACTCCTTAATTAGCTGCCAATTTTTCCACTGTTCCATAACAGCGAACCACGACACCTTATCCCCTGGTTTACAGGCAGTAGATAGTAGTTCAATTTCAATAATGCCTGTGCCGACTTTGCTCACTCTGATAAAACAGTCAACTATATACTCTATTGTTTAGTGTTTTATCAACATGAAGCCCATTTCTTCAAGAACTGCCTCTTGTTTCCGAATCGTTTTTGTTTTCACTGCATACCACTGTATATAGCATGCGCCATGAGACTGCTTCCAACAGGTTCCCCAGTCAGCATATATCGGAATCGAAAACAGAAGTGAACTCAATACTCGATAGATACCCCACCTAAGAAGGAACGGTTTTATTTCAGCTCATGTACTAAATATCGCTGCAATCTACTCTTGCCAGTTTTAGATGATTTTCTCTCTCTGCACCATCGCATTGCCTATGGATTTGATAAGTTTTTCCAAGTCTATAAAGAGCACACTAACGTTGCTGTCTCGTTCCCATCACCAAGGTACATTCACAATTAGTGTCTGTTTTAATGAAAAATAGCAGTAGTCTTCTGAAACGTCTGCTTCCTACAGTCTTTCGACTTCCGTAAAGTTTAAAATCATCGAATTAGACCGTCTTTACTGAGTCGAACTTTCACACACTTCTTTGTCTGTATCTCCGTTTCGCAAATTTCATATAAATTTGAGACGCGGTTTAGCCATACAATCCTGCAAAATCCTGTACCCGAAATTTTCTCTCTCCATTTCCAATATCTGGCAGCTGAAAATGGAAATCCATCGTTTGCAGAGACAGAATGAACTTTCTGACAGGCTTTCATAACAGTAAAGCGACGAGTCAAGCTTAACCATTACCACTCACCTAATTTACCACACTAAGTGAAATCGGTGATAGAATCAATACTGCAGCGTTAAACCTGCGGTTTCGAAGTAAGAAGAAAGCCAGTCATAAGCAATAGGTACTTACTCTAATGTTTCTGAAACTGCATACTGTGGGGAAGAAATTAAAGAAATTGAGGTATCTGTTTCCTTTCAATATTTGTCGTTATCATCACAGAAAGACTTGACAGATTTAGAGATCAAAGTGACCGATAAAACAGAATTTTAACAGTAACAGAGTTTTAACAATCCAATCAACTTCTCAGTAACATATTGTTAAAGTCAGACTAGCAATCGGTACTGGATCTAACAACAAACCTAACCTTACCGTTCATCAACGGTTCGGGTTTCGGAAAGAGGTCGCCGTTCAAGAAGTCCGTCGAACACGTCAAAAGGTTAGAAAAGATAGACAGTAACCAAGCAATCGCTGCTGAAAGTTTCATCGACGC